TGGATGCACTACAATGTGTCTTCTGCACAGTCTTCTGAGAGACAAACCAGCATTCCCTTTGACATACCTTCTACGTCTGGAAGGGAATTGTATCTGCATGAACTCTGCAAATGGTTCTATGAACCTTCCTGCTAGCAGGGGTACAGCTAGCAGCATGGCCTAGGTCCCTGCATATAGAAATATAGTGTGAGTCTGTCTAGCTTATTTTAAGTGATATATTGCCAAATTCTGATCCTGTTTGTCAGGCTGACTAATACCTCAGGTTATCCCATTAATTTCAGTATTGCTGCCCAGACAGTGCAATGATACCTAGGAAATGAGAACACAATCTAGCCAGTTATGGTTAAGTGACTGAGTTTTTACTGCTAAGCACAATGTGCCCTACCCAACTTATTTGATTTAGCAGGTGCTTTACTGGCATTTAAAATATTTTGCATATGATCATAATGCATCCTGAGGGGAAAAAAAGCCAACCTTAACATTTTATTAGTGAGACTTCTTGCTGTTCCCCTAAAATAAGGCAATCAAACAGACAATTTATATTGCAGAGCCTTGACCTTTACTTTCCAGGACTGTAAAACAAAACCCCAGACCCCGCACTTTCTGCATCTGGTTGACATTTGAATAAAACTGCCAGAGTGCAAACAAGATTTGAGACAACATCTCCAGCAAGCTCTGCTGTGAGTCTAAAAATATTCTTGGCTAACTTACTTTTTAAGGCCATATGTTGAAAAAAAAAACCAACAACCCAAAACTTCAGTAGAATTTATTGCAATAACGGATTTGCCAAACTACTTAAGACATTTGGGAAGATTATAGTGAAGTACATTAGTTGCTGACTTGACAATTTGCTATGCTCACTGCTTGTATATTGGATTCTTGATATTCACGCTGAGAGTTGATCCGACTTTCTAGTACATTTTAGCAAGAAACCTGCCAAGTGTCTACTGGCTTATTAAATGCTGGGAAACCAAAGGTCAGCCGTATTTATAAGCCACAGCAAAGACACTGTGGATGGTACACAAGATTTTCTCATGGCATTTTTCATATTCAGACTTTCAGAGGAGGACTGGGTGAGGGCTGGTTTCACTGGTTGCCTCAGAGTCCCTCCTGGTTTGCCTCAAAGTCCCCTGGCCACGTGCTTAGAAGCTGCAGAGAAGCAGTTCTATTTCCACTGTGCCATCTATTCCCTACATTGCTGCGTCTAATGATTACTGTGCCTTTGAATCTCGTTCATAGGGCCACAGCCAGAGCATGCTCCTGGTACAGCCCTGCTGCAGCAGGGCCCATCACAGAGGGCAAATCTGCCCTGCCTCCACAGCCCATCCCCAGGAGCTGATTTCTCCAAGGCTGCTGCAGGGTGAAAGAAGCTGCTGTTGGGAAGTTGCTGCGTTCTGTGCCTGACCCAAAACCAGCTGAGCCTGGGGGAGACTTCCTGCCTACTCCACCAAACTTCCGATTGGTGTTCTCTCACTTGCTCGCTGTGGCAATTCTGCTTTGCAAGCACTCCAGTCACCTTTACCACTTCTGATTTCAATCCGGTTTTACACGGCTGGAGATTGTCCTAGTGTGATGCACAAGTTTCCCCATAAAGGCTAACCCTTGCCCTCCTTGCCAAAGCAAACATTCTTACAAAGGCAGTGGAATCACTCTCACAGTCAATAAAATTTTCTTCCATATCATGCTATACAGAACACATTGCTGTCGACATTTCTTACATCTTTATTATATAGTTTTATTACATTTACTTGTCTGATGTGCGAAGGTAACAGAAAATTCCTCCTCTTTCTATAAAGGTGCTTACCAATACATAAAGTGGAGATGTGTAAAAAAAAAAACCAAACCAAACCAAAAAACAACCACAAAAACATGCTTATTTAAAACACAAGAGGACAAGAAGTTTAAACTTGATCATTTAAATCATTTTAACATAGAAACCATTCTGAAGGATCTGTGTAGACAACAATCTCACCGAGATTCACCTTGCTTTAAGCACTGCTTACAACAGACTGATGGAGAGTGACATGAGAAACAAACCCACGTTTTAATGGAAGATAGCTGCAAAACAAATTGCTTTTTAACTGTTGGAAAGAACTGGGGAAAAAAAAAAAAAAAAAAAAAAGTGATTTTCTTATTTTTAGTTTTTATTTTTATTGTTTATTTTTATTTTTTCCCTGCCATTATCACCACCGGGGATATTTGCGCACTCTCCCAGCAGCGGGCGGGGAAACCCGCGCACTGCGGGCCCCCAGGGCAGCGGCAACGGGTAACATCTCTGACCAAACAAGCGGCGGGAGCTCCCGGGTTTGGCGATGTAATCCGCTCCCGACGGCTCGAAGAGAGGGCACGATCAAAGCATTCTTCCGGGGAATTCGCACCCGGGGCTGCCGTTTGGTTAGCCGGCCCGAACCCTGCTAATAAATCCCCTGGGAGAAGGGGCGGGATAGGAGGAAGGGGAGGGGGCCTCGTCTCCTGCACCTGCACGCCTGCCATCCCCATCCCCGCCGCTCGAAGCGCGATGCGGAGCCGGACCAGCGGCACCTTCCGAGTGGGAGAGATGTCCTGATGGTCTCGCGAATGCTTCTGAGCTGCTTTTCCTCTGCTGACTTGGCGCGCACACGCACTGGGATCGGGCAGAGTCCCTCGCGGTCACTCCCCGACCCCACCCCGGTCCCGGCGCTCAGCCACAGCCGCTTCAGCGCCCTCCATCGGCACAACGCTGTGCTCCCGTGCAGCGCGGCGGTTCCCGAGGGCAGGATGGGGAAACGTTTCCCCGAGGAAGCTCCAGAAAGGTTCTGCGTAGCTCCCCGGGTGATGATGACGGTGAGGAGGGAACACCGGTTTGAGGAGGGGGCCGTGATAGAGGCCGTCACAGCGGGCGCTGCGCTGAGCATTTCCCAGCTTGCAAACCAATGCCCGCTCCATCCTGTCCCGTCCCTTCCCGTCCTGTCCCATCGCATCTCGCAAGGGTCGCAGCTGTCACGGCGGGCTGAAGGGAAGCAGGAGCCGATGTGGGGCCGCAGCAGCACTCCCCGCGGCTCTCCCGTCCCCCGGGGAAGGGGAAGCGGAGCGCCCCGCAGAACAGAGCTCAAACAGGAGGAGAAAGAGAATGTTACACAAACATGCTTTAAAGTCATGGCTGGATTTCACAGTTCCCTGTGGATAAAGTAAACAGGAGGGAAACTGTTTTGTAATTTACGCCAGCGGCCCGCAGAAACCGTACTTTGTAATTTGGTGTCGGTTTACAAGAAAAAGGGACTTCTGTTTCCTAACCTAGCAGGTTCTTTGTCATGCCCGCGCCTTTTAAGAAAGACCCCAAGGGGGAAAGTGGAATTCCTTAGGTATTTGCCTTTTCGTCATGCCTGTAAGCAGCAGCGGGAGACTCTTTGGGGATGAATTCTACCTGCCGTCGAGGACGCGTTTCCCCGAAGCGAGTGCGGCGAGCTGCATTCTGAGTAGGCAAACGCTGCACGGGGACGCGCGGCTTCCGCACACCTCGGCCGAACAACGAGGGCCCAATCCGGCGGCTGTCCTCGGCCCGCCCGCCTCAGATGCTGCAGCCCCCGGGGCGCTCGCCCGACAGGGAGGGGCTGAGGGCGGCGGCACGGCGCGTTCCCGTCCGCTGAGCCACGAGCGTGGGTTGTCTGCGCGTGCTGCACGCGCCGCTCACGGAAATACGTTTGCCCTTACAGGAGAATGTTTTCGGTGTATAGTTGACATATCGTTGGCTTTCGATCAGCACACCGACGAGCGCCTTTTTTTTTCTTCTCACTTTTCTCCCTTCCTTCCCCTCCTTTCCTTCCTTCCTTTTCTTCTTTCCCAGGGCATACCCCATTTATTCTGACTTTCCTCCGCTAGGCGCCGAGCGGGTCCAAGCTGAGTGTCATCCCCATTCGCCCCCTCCCGCTCCCGTTTGCAGCCGCGCTCCGCAGCCCCGACTTCGGGCGACAGTGTTGGTCCACCCGGCTCTGGAAGCGCGGCAGCCGTCGGAGAACGGGAGGAGAGAAAGAGCTCTTCCGCGGCTCATTGCAAGTGTCACGGTGCGAACGTTACGGAGTTAACGAATACTTTGCCCCTCGGTGTTACAGGGAGTGCGGGAAAATCACAGAGATACCGCTGTGTTTCCAGACTCGAAATAAAGTCATTTCTACGCATTTCCCTCCTCGCAGCGGGACAAAGAACACCTTTCCCCACCACGTTCCCCCGCCGCGCTCCCCGTGGGCTGGCGTGCGTCTGTCACCCCCACACGCGTCACTCCTCTCTCTCCTCCTCTCGTCCTCCCGTTCTCCCTACGGTTATGACCCGCACCCTCCGCCGCCACCGCCCTGCTCCCCTCCGCACCGCCCCCACGCGCGTCCCCGCGCCCCCCACGCCCGTCCGCACACACGCGCGGCGGCTGGCAGGCGAGCGGCGGGGCGGGGCGGTGTCGGCGCGGGCCAATGAGGGCGGCGGCCGCGCGGAGCGGGCCCGATGGGCGGCGCGGGCGGCTGTGGACGGCGCTGATAACGCGGCGGGGCCGGAGCGGCGCGGCGAGGCGGTCGCGGTCCCGGTCTCGTTGGCGGCGACAGCGCTCTCTTTGCCCGCACCCGCCAGAGCCCCCCGGTGTCACCGGACGGCGTGGCGCCCCGTGGGTCGCGGGAGCCCGGCGCTTAGCCTGCCGGCCTGGGGCACCGAACTCGGGTAAGAGCCTCGGCGGCGGTGAGGATGGGAGTTCGGAGCCATCGCTTCCTGAGTGCAAAGGCAGTGGAGCTCCAGCACCGCCGTGCGGGGTTGGCGGGAGCCGGCGGGTGCTGTCATCCCACGGCCGCGCCGGGGCTGTTCCTTCCGCTCTCTCCCCGCCCTTCTCCCCGCGGCAGACGTGCTCCGGCCGGCGCACAGTTCTCGGGGCAGCGGCCGTCGAGGAAGCTGAGGGGAGCCCCGCGGGTTCCGGGGCACGGGACTAAGGGGCGCGGAGGGAGGCATCTGGCGGTTCGCGCCGTGCCTGTCTGACCGCGGGCGGGTAGCTTGACCCTTCTCTTGCAGCTGCGGCGCGGAGCAGCCATGTCCGAAGGACGCGCCGCTGGCGAGTGGGAAATCGACGTGGAGAGCCTGGAGGGGGAAGCGACCGAGGGCGTCGGCGCTCCGAGGGAGGAGGAAGAGGAGGAAGGCGAGGAGGCGACGGCGGCCCCACGGCGGGGCGGCGGCAGTGAGCCGCGGAAGCTGAGCCGCACGCCCAAGTGCGCCCGGTGCCGCAACCACGGCGTGGTGTCGTGCCTGAAGGGACACAAGCGGTTCTGCCGCTGGCGCGACTGCCAGTGCGCCAACTGCCTGCTGGTGGTGGAGCGGCAGCGGGTGATGGCCGCGCAGGTGGCACTGCGCCGGCAGCAGGCCACCGAGGTGAGGCGGATCGGTCGGGTCGGGAGGTCGGGTCAGGACAGGACGGGGCGGGTGGCCCCGGCTGACGGCGCCGCCCGCCCGCTCTCCTAGGACAAGAAGGGGCTGGCCGGGAAGCAAGCGAGCCTGGAGCGCAAAGCTGTCTACCAGAGGCACGTCCGGACGCCCAGCCTGCTGGCCAAGAGCATCTTGGAAGGTAGGTCCGGCGACGCCGAGCCGCGAGTGCGGCTGAAGTCGGCGGGGCTGCCTCAGCCGAAGTAACGCGGAGCGGCCTCTGCGCCGCCTGGGCGCGGTGCCGTCCGGCTCCTCCGCGGCTCCCGCTCTGCGTGGGTGGAATCGGCGCGGGAGGACCTCAGTTCCCCCCTCAAATAACGCCTGAAATGTTAGCGGCGGTAATCTGAAATTTGAGAGTTAGTGTTACAAGCCGACATTCTTCTGACATGAGTACCCAGCCGTGTACTGCGGTGCCGGGCAACTCATTTGCGGCCGTATCCATCAGCAAAGGAGTAAATCAAACCGCTTTCTTTCTGAAGAGAAAGCTTAACACAGCAGCTCTGTTTATTGCGTTACCAATGGTGAGGTAGGCACGGCAGGCTGCTCGGATTTTTTTTCCTGCTGAAAATGTCAGCTGCAGAAACAAGATGTTGGAAAGATCCATGTCTTAATGAGCATATACATGTATAGTTCTCTCTGTCTCTTCGGGTCAAGCCCCAGTTTATGTCTGTGGCTGCTTTAATTATTTTCCAAATTGTAGCCTTGTAGCATTACAATCATCAAGTTCTTTTTATTATTGTTATTATTATTATTTTTCAATAGAAAGCTCTTTTCTTTGCCTGTGTGTACAGTTCTGTCCTGTTAAACTTTTCTCTAATTTTCTCCTTCAATTCATTCTTTAAAAAAAAAAATCTCTTTTTTCATGTATTTATCTTAACTTTCTTTTTCTTTTCTCCTAGTTCTCCTTGGAATTTTCTACCATCTGTAACAATATGATCATAGTGATTCATCTTTAGAGAATAGGAATGGCAGCAGCTATAGGTATAGATATCTTTCTTGGCAATGGGGAAACTGTGTGAGTGGGACTGAATACGGGCAAAATCCTCTTCTTGCTCTTGTAATCAGTTCCATAATTCTATAGGATTACCTCACTGGGTAGAGCAAACAGGATCGGACCCTGTCAGTTATGTTAAATTAGTACATTAGCTGAATGCACTGGATATTTGTTTTATTAATGTAGTACTTCAGTTCTGAGTAGGTGGAATATTTGAGTACTTGTTTACCATGTTTATTAAAAATACTGCATTGTTAAGCCGTGCGGTTCAGTACTGATCATAATGCATGGCAGGGTATTGCCTTTTTTCAGTCTGCTGCTTCCAATGGCCACTGTGAATGGCTGCTCAGCTAGCTCTGGGGGAAAAACGCAGGGCAGAGCCTCAGGGCTGGCTTCTCTGCATGCAGGGAGTGGGGAAGGATGTGCCTGAGGGCGCAGGGATGGCAACTGAGGTGGCACGGTGATGAGGGTAGGAACTGCACAGGGTCTGCAGAACGTGCTCTGAAGGGAGCCCCTGGTGCAAACACAGCTATCATATTTCTCCTGCATGGTTCCATTCCTAATGCTACTTCGTTGTTTTAGGTTACCGTCCTATTCCAGCAGACGCTTACCTGAGAGGAAACTCACCTTTGCCACCCCCTGTAAGTGACAGGATGAGAAAGAGACGGGCTTTTGCTGATAAAGAGTTGGAGAACATTATGCTAGAAAGAGAGTACAAAGAAAGAGAGATGATGGAAGCTACACAAGCAGCTGCCCTCTTCCTCCCGAACCGCATGGTGCACGGAGCTGAATACAATGCGTACAAAACCGCCTTCAGCCCTGCTCAGGTTGATGCTCCCGGCAAGGAGTTCTGCAATTTCTTACCAACGTGCCTTGATCTAACCATGCAGTACTCGGGATCTGGCAACATGGAACTTATTTCTTCCAATGTCAGTGTAGCTACTACCTACAGGCAGTATCCCCTGCCTTCCAGGTTCTTAGTGTGGCCGAAGTGTGGCCCCATTAGCGATGCTCTCCTCTACCAGCAGTGCCTGCTGAACGCTACCACTGTCCAAGCTCTCAAACCGGGGACAGGCTGGAACGCCAAGGTGGCACAAAGCCCGGAGTGTCCGAACACTGAGCAGGACATCATGTCTCCGAAACTGGAGAATCCACTCCTTCTGACCCACACACCTGACATCCAGCAGGCATGCAGTGAGGTGCCGTGCCTTCCCCAGGAGGCTCGGGAGAGGTCAGCCTTCTCTCCTCCAAAAAGGACTTTCTCTCAGATTTCCGATAAGGATTCTCTGGCTCCTCAAGAACAGGCACTGAGCAAGGTCAGCAAAGACACGGCCAAGCCCGCTCCACCTATCAAATACAATCCATTTCAGTCACTGTTCCCGCAGACATTTCCAGACAAATCGGGAGCAGAGCTGAGAGCATCGTTTATGAAAGAGACTTTTGAAGAAGCATCTAAGAAATATAGGGAGTTCAGCATTAAAGAGAACCAGAAATACAAGTTTACTATAGATAAATGTACAAAAGACTTCTTTGGACCCAAACAGGCCACAACAAAACTGTCAGCAGCTGAGCCACTGTCGTTTTCAGTTGAATCCATCCTTAAATGACCTTGTGCAGAGGCTAATGTCACCCAGTGAATAAACTGCAACATCAGTGTAGAGAGCTTGTGTGCTTCGCCTTCTGCAGAATTACTACTGCCCACCTTTTCTCTTAAAAGATTTGTAGAGAGAAGTTTCTGCTGTAAATGGTAATTCTTTCTTTTTTTTTCTCAAAATGGCATACATAAATGTTGTTTATACAAACATGCATGTTTTCAGAAGAAAAGTGAATTTATTTTTAAAAATTGAAATGGCACATACAGAAGACTGTAGTGTTCTTTTAAGTAGAACTCCAGACCACTCAATAAAATGAGTTTACCTGCAAAAACAGATCTTTGCCCTGCCAGTAATATCCCCTGATCTTAGTTGTGTCTCTAGTCTCTTGCAATCAAGTGTGCTCTGCTGTCAGAACACACCTATTCCTTTGTGGGCTGGTACCGATGTACTGAGTTATCTTGGTGGGGTATGTGGTCACCCTGCTTTCACCTTCGAGTACCTAAGGGAAGAGATGCATGTAGACTAGTATGAATTAGAAGGCTTCTGTTAGTAACTGAAATTTGCTGTTCTTAATTTGAAGGTGAAGTGCTTGCTAGCAGAGAGACTGACTTAGCCCATACCTCTCTACAAAACTTCTGTTCCTAAAGCAAAGACTTACTGGGTAGACTGTGTTTGGGGATAATGAGCTTTTTGGGTTTTTTGAGTCTTTTGGGGATAATGAGTTTTTTGGGGTGAGTTTTTGAATAAAAAATCCTCTTTTTTAAATTCAGTTTTTGAATAAATGCTTTTATTTTGAATAGATGCTTTTGGCTGACTTTGCTGTTCCTCTGGGTTTTCACTCCTTAGAATATTTCCATCCTAAAAACATTTAATTCTGACCTGCAATAGTCTGAGAGTCTCGAGCTGTGGTAATTAGAATGACTGTAAAAATGGTGCACAGAATCCTTATTGCTAGTGAGAAGTCAAGTCATGATCTCTCTGTTTTGTAATTCTGGGCCCTTTTGCAGGGGTAATAGAAAGAAAGCAGTAGAATTTACCCCAGAAAGTGAGGTGCCCTTGGTGCTGTGGTTACAGAGTTACAGCTCTCACTGTAACTGAGCTCAAAGGAAACTTTCTGAACTTGTGGTATTTTGAGTTTTTGCCTGTATTTCACCATTGGCATTTCCACTTACTGCTGGTACCTCGGTTACTCCTGTTAACATTTCAACCCAGCAGAAGCTGCTTGGTCAGCTGAAGGGAGCTGAGGTTGTTCTTGATTTTTGTTATTTTCTAAGGGCAAATTCTATTTGATGTTTCTAGGCAAAATCTCTAGACTCAGAATGGTTTGGGTTGGGAGGGACCTTTAAGATCATGTAGTTCCAACTCCCCTGCTATAGGCAGGGACACCTCCCTGTAGACCAGGTTGCTCAGAGTCCCATCCAGCCTGGCCTTAGCACCTCCAGGGAGAGGGCACACTATTATTTTCTGATCTTACAACATTCACCATACAGCCTGAACGATCATTTTGCTGTAAATAAATCTGAACACGAGCATTGCTCACTCTGCATCTCTGACCACGTTTGGCGTCGGTGCTGAGTGGTGTCGTGGGGGGACAAGCTGCTATTTGTGCATGGGGTGAATTGTTTGCCAGGGTGCTTTTCTGAGACCAGTGAGTGGCTTGATGCTATTGCCAATCACGTCGTTCAAACAGCAAGCTCTGCCTTTTGCTTGGAGAAAAAGCATTTTAACACGTGTAAATTTTGTATGACTTGTCTTTTAAAACAAATAGAAAAGAAACATGTTGTTTTAGGCAATAATAATAAATGATAACACAAACTTAACAGGATTTTGACACCAGCCAGAGTTTTACTTTACAGAATCATTCATACTGACCAGACTTTGCCTGCCTGGAAACACATCTCCAATGCAATGAATCGCTTTTTCACATGCTCAGACTCTGTCTTTTGCTCAGCTGCCATTAGAGGGAGATGGACCTTGCTTGGGAGCCGGGGCTTCTCATCAGTCAGTTCGGCAGTCACACCAAGCTGAGCAGCTTTTACATGGGGCAAAATTCTTCACACTTAATATTAATTTGCTTTCACCAGAGCTTTCCTTCTTTGGCTGAACTGGACATAACATACTAACAATAAGTTTTAATTCTATCAGAGTTGCTTTGTTATTACAAATATGAATCATTTTGTTGTTCAAGCTGCTGGAGTACAGTAGGATGGCAGATGAAAGACAGTTCAGGAACACATAGTAAAGCAATAAGTACTGTAATTAGTCCTCCATAAACACATTTTACTTTTTGCCTGACAATGAGCACATCTAACACCATTCAATTTTGCATCTGAAATATTTTTTAAGGAAGTCACTTGTCTTTATTTATCATTACAAAAGAGACCAGAAAACCACAGCCCTCCAAAACACTTGCCATCTCTTGACTTTTTAAAGAGCCAGTTCAACTAAAGGGATGAAAACCCTCAAAGCACTCAAAATACACAAAGTACTAACCTATACCTATCTATATCATGCACACACATAGACGTGGGCAGAGGCATATACACACATACATCGACATACACACACGTATGCATACACATATGCATACACACACACCTACATGTACACATACACATGAAGAGACCCACAACCTATGTCTGTGTTCCAGATGATTCTGCCTAAAGCCCAGCCATCAGAAGAGGAGTGACATTTCTATTATTACTTTAAAAACGTGATTGTTAAAGTGAAACTGGAACAAATTTTGCCTGCTTCATTTAACAAATCAGTCTCACTGGAGTCAGCATTTGGCCACACCATCCCGCTTTCACTTGCTCATTTCTTGTTTCATTAACCATTTTTGCTTGTACTTTGTTTCCTTTCATAAAACCTGGGCTCTCCTTAAACTGTTGAAAGCATCTTATATGCCTTGAATGCATGTTGCTATTGAATCAGTTCTCCTTATGTTGGTTAAAAACATGTATAAGGATTGTTGGAGGATTATTAGTTTGAACAGGCAGACTACTTGTGATTTTCCTCATGCATCTTCACAGTGGATGCATAGCTCTCCTCCCTCAGTCTGCTGCATGTTTCCCTGGACCAGAAGCAGAGATTTGTCCATGTGTGCTGGTGGAGCTGTACAAACTCAGGAAGGGGAGGAGAAGTCATTGCTCTTTCTCTGTGGCCAAAAATGTGATGTGAGACCTGCATGAGAAATCGCTCAGTGCTAGGCAATGAATTCCTTGCAGTATATAAGCTGTTAACATCCTATGCTCCCTATTCCTTAAACACAGTGTTTGTGGCATTTGCTGTACGTGTGGGTGCCTGCACCTCTTGTTCAGAACCACCAGCTTTCTCTGGATATAGCATGCACGTTTCTGCTGTGCTCATGATGTCAGATTGCATTTCCCTTTGCATCCCCTCAACTTTTCTTACACGATGGTGGAACATGCTGGGAAGTTGGCTCTGGGAAGCACAAAGTAAGGACAAACAGCATTTACCCATTTGGTCTGCAAAATACTTCACCTAGCTGGTACTGTTGTCAGAGATGACCAAACACTAAAAGTGCTTAGGTGTACTTAGACAAAAAATGTTTAGGAAGCGTACAGAACTAGAGGATAGAATTCCAAACAGTGCCTGGCTCACTGGCTGGTTGGGAGGCAAGGAGCAGGTGGAGGGGCTCACCTGGGGGAGGTAGAATTTACAGATGCTGCAGTGTCAGTGTTCTCCCTCAAGTGATGTGGGACCATTCAGGCAGGCACTGCATTTCCTCCTCTGGGGAAGAGAACCTGCACAGTAGGTGTGGGTTGTTGGCTTCCTGCTGAAGGCAAACTTCTCAGAGCTGATGGCACCAGCACTGCTGGCTCACTGCAAAGCCTGTGTTAAAAATGGGCTTGAGCTCAAGGCATAAGACAGTGGAACACCAGCCATTAGATGAGATCAGGACTGAAACATCTGTCTTGTTTCTGCTGATAAATCGAATCTTCCACACTAAGCAATGGAAAAGAGAGGAAAAATTCTTCATATTCAGCAAAGTTATTAAGTTGGAAGAATAGGAATAATGAACAGTTTTTGTTGGAAAGTGGTTGCGGCCTTCTTCCCAATTTTTGTAGAAATTAATTGTAACTGAAATCCACCCAAGCATAAGCAAAAGACTGCCCAGGCAAGCCTACTGATATATTCGCCAGCTGATTAAGTAGCACCAGAGCCTGTGAATGTGAATACTTACCTAAGCAAGATGGGGCCTAGAAGTCACTCCGAGACATGCAAAGATTTTGGGAATGCTGGACCTAATGTCACTGTCGCGCTGACCAGCTGACATTGTGCATCTGTACCTCACTGTAGTCACTCAAATCTTGGCTTCAGACACTGACTAGATTTTCTGTTCATTCCTTGTCAATACAGTTGGTCATGAAACAGGTACATCAGGTTGGTTCTATCTATGGTACACCAGTCTGTCTTTGTAAAATGAGAGTTCATAGGGGCATCCACTATACCCAGTCTGGTTTTCCGCTACTCATTTCATTTCTACATGAACAGTCCCACAAAGGAGCTGGCTGTGACAAGTTTCTGTTTTTCTAAGTCCAACAGAAAACATGGGTGAACAAACCACTCTCTGAGATGGCTTGCCTCTGGGTTATCAAAACCATACTGAAATCTGGACCTCTATGGAAAGATGCTTTAAGTAGTCACAGAATTGTTGAATCACAGATTTAAAAAGAACAGAATTATGTATATAGATAGAAAACCCAAAATCTTAGGGAAAAATATGCATAGGTATAATCAACACCTTTCAGGCAATTGTAGATTTGCTGTAGTGTAAGCATAGAGAGATGAAAAAAGCCATCTAGGGTCTCAGTAAGTAGCTTGGGAATGTCAGCTAGATGGGAACCTTGCACTTCAACACTTTTGGAAGACCACATTTCATTTAATCTTTTATTTAATTTTGAAATTTATTGACACTTATTACCTTCTGAGCTGTCCTTAGCTTGAAGAGGCAGTACTACTTCTGTTACATCTTCAAACAAGTTTATTAATGGGAATTTAGCACTATGTGATAGAACCAGGGAACAGAACTGCAGCAGCACCAAGGCTGGCTGGCACCCCTGGAGAGCACCCAGTCTCACTCCTGCCCAGAACAGTTCAACCACAGCAGTTTTGCTCGATCTTTTCTTGGCTAGGTTTGGAATCTCTAGGGATGGAGACTATGCATCTGCTCTTGGCAACCTGCTCCACCGGTTGTACCACACTCACAGGAAAAAGGAATATTTTCTTCAATCTAGATGCATTTTCCTTTATTCCAGAGTGCGCTCATTGACTCTGTCCCACCTGACCATCACTACAGCATGTATCTGTGTTTCCTATATCAGGTATCAATATTTGATAAGATCTCTCCTGTGCCTTCTCTTCTCCAGGT